AACAGTGCTATTTACTCCTTGGTGTACATCACCACACAGGAGAAAGGTGTACATTTGCAGTGTTGTCAAACCAATGCCCAGGGTTTATACTGTCTCGAGCTCCTACTAATAGCCTGGGATGGGTGCTGGAGGATAGGGAATCAATACTAACATTGCTATTTACTCCTTGGTGTACATCACCACACAGGAGAAAGGTGTACCTTTGCGGTGTTGTCAAACCAATGCCCGGGTTTATACTGTCTTGAGCTCCTACTAATAGCCTGGGATGGGTGCTGGAGGATAGTATCTACCTGTCTGCTTAATGAGATTCTAGTCTTGTCACATCTCTTCACATGGTACAAGAAGAGTAACATTTGCTATGCCAACTATTATTCCCCATGGAAAAATACACACCATTATACACTTCAGAACAGTATCAGTATCCACCTATGCAGGCTCTTTATGAATCTCGTGAGGCTGAGCCCCCTGTAAATCATGTTTTTGTACATGCTTGCTACAGAATTCCCATTTCAAGAGCACACCACTGTTACGCTGACTTTATTTTCCCTCAGCTCCAAATGAAACACTTCAGCTGTTAGCAGAAAACCAGCAGTTTCTTAGTGGCATAAGGAATCTGTGGGAGTGAAGGAAGCAAGAAATGCCATATATAATGCTCATCATCAGTCTAGAGATCTTTCATCTAATGCTCAGCAATACAATCTTCTTTCCCCAAGCCTGACAAATACATCACCCTGCTCCTTGATCTAAGTAAACCTCCAAGAGTAATATTCCCCACTTGAGTTTCTATCACATGAAACTTGCAGAACATGCTGATTATTCCACAGAAGTGTCTCCAAACCATCACTTCTTTTCTGCATTGAGAAGTATCTAAGAAATCCGATGTAAAGTGAAGAGGTGGCAGATAATATGGACTCAGACACTGCTGCAGAAGTTCACAGTAAAGAGGAGGAAAGAAAGTGGAACCACACACTAATTTCATAGCTGGCAGAACTCAGAGGAGCTGAAAAACCAAACAGCAGCACAAAACTTAGTGTTATAATGAAGTTTGAATTGTGTCACCCTATAGCAGGCATATTGGCAGTAACATGGTCTTCTTTCCTAAAGAAGAATTGCAGGTTGACACCTGAATAGGCACAAAACAACTGCAGTTTGTTTGAAGACAGTCTTGGTTACTTCTGCATTTTTAATGAAAGCTTTTTTCAGTGCTTATGCTGGGAAGAGTTGCTGGGTTGAACCTCACTGCAGTTACAGAAACAGAACAGCATCTTTATGATGCTGCACTGTCTGGTTTCCTGGACAGGTAAGGGACTTGAAAAATGCTGTGGTCTTTGTGATTCCTGCAGTTTTCAGGAGCTTGAGGGCAAAAAGTATATGCAAACCAGAAGGATGTGTAACGGACCAAGGGGAAAAATCAGAATTTGTCACCTTGTCCAAGCAACTTGAATTTAGACATGAAAACTGTACAGCGTGCTCAGAAATCAAGTAGAAGGGAAAATAAATGGCCAAGCTTTGTCAAGCAGAAATGTCTACAATTTGGTCTTAGCCAAAGATGCAAGCTGTCCACTTCCAAACTGTTTGATTAATGAGCATTCTGAAAACAATAGATTTTGAGCAATGGTTCTTTAAATATTAGTGCCTAAGCTCTTGCTAAATATGCAGGTGCTCCATATTTCATTTTCAGACTGGCAGTGGCTTAGTAGTGTTCAATTTATTCATAGGTAAGTGCTCAACATTGTGCATCTCAGCATGTATGCTTGTGTGCCTCTATTGTTCATGGAGTTTTGACAATCTTAAATTAGTATGAAAGCATTCCTAAACATGCCTGAGTTTGCAGATTGTTTGTGAAGTAGTCCCAGGACCATCACCATTGAGGTTTCTGGAAAGCTGGAGCTATTTGGGACAGGGTGGTTAATTTAAGGGCACCTACAAGGATGTTGGGGTCCCTCACTCTTCATTAGGGATTGTAGCGATAGGACAAGGGCTGATGGGTTCAAACTGAAACAGGGGAAGTTCAGGTTGCATCTAAGGCAGAAGTTCTTCCCTGTGAGGGTGCTGAGGGGCTGGCACAGGGTGCCCAGAAAAGCTGTGGCTGCCCCATCCCTGGCAGTGTTCAAGGCCAGGTTGGACAGAGTCTTGGGTGACATGGTAGGGGGTTGGAACTAGATGATCTTAAGGTCCTTTCCAAGCGAAACCAACCTGTGATTCTGTGATTGAACAATCTAGAAGAAAGGATCACTGATTTTCAGAATTCAGGCATCCATAGTCAGCATTTGCAAAATGAATCAAAAACTTGGTTTCAAAGCAGCTTTTTATTTGAAAAAATGGAAGTTCATTTAGAGTACAAGGGGTTTAACAAAAACGTGGAGGCCAGAATAGAATAAGGTCCTTTTCAACCCTCATTATTCTTAAGTTTTGATGCAACTTAAATAAAATGCCCTTTCATAGTCAAAAAGCTTTCCATCTCAAAAATTCTCATGAAGCAGGAAATCCTCTTTTCCTTTCAGCCTTAATTAGAAACCTCTTTAGCAAGGGCCATGCTATGAGACTGAATTTCATTCCATTCTAATACAAGGCAAGTAAGTTACCTGCTATATTAAATCAAGGTGACTTTTCTACTAACCCGGTCATCAGCACGTGCAAGTATGGTTCTGATTCTTGCAAACTTTGCAAAGGTCTCACACTGACAAACAACTGCCTTTCTGTACGCAGGCGAGAAACCTCTTTAGCAAGGGCCATGCTATGAGACTGAATTTCATTCCATTCTAATACAAGGCAAGTAAGTTACCTGCTATATTAAATCAAGGTGACTTTTCTACTAACCCGGTCATCAGCACGTGCAAGTATGGTTCTGATTCTTGCAAACTTTGCAAAGGTCTCACATTGACAAACTGCCTTTCTGTATGCAGGCACTTGTCACTGTGTATGCACAGGCAATGGAGGCATTGTACAGTGGCAAAAAGAAACTGCTATAATTTGCCTTAGCACAAGTCTTTTAGACTGTTTAGTTGATGTATCCTCAGGAACACTGCTGTTCACCGCATCATGATGTATCATAGAGCTACTTATTTTGCTTGTTAAAATGTTGAAGAAATTACCTGAGAAATAGTATCTTTTGGGGGCAGGAAGTTCCAGCACAGCTGTGATTTAATAATCCCACATCCATGATTGTATCTGCTAAATAATTTATCTGGAGTCCTGCAGAGGGAAAAGATTGATACACAGCCAAGTGCAAGTAAATGTCCTTAGAGGGTTTGAGTGGTGTTCTGTGCAGCAACCCAGGTAATGCCAGGCTGATCAGCTATAATCATCTCTGCAGCCCTGAATTTCTCTCTCCTTTCCTCTTATGGATTGATTTTATGGACTAATGTTAAGAGTAGGAGGGCTGAGAAGACGGTCAACTACATATTCAAAACTTAATCCAGGGTCCGTGACACAATCAGTTTTGTGAGGAAACTTCTTACCTTGAAGCTGACATCCACCACAGACCATGGTCTGCAGTTCTTTACGAATTAAAGCAGTCCTTCTGTGTTGCCGTGACTTGACATATTCCTGATTTCCTGACTGCTACATTGATCCATCATACAAGCCACCCTAGTACATTATATATAAACATGCTTGCTGCTGAACAGCCAAGTGTCTTGTTTCCCCTGAGGATTTCCCAGTCATCAGTATCTTAGATGTTCACACTTCTGCCTCCTTTTCCCCATTAGTTTATCAGTTCTAAGAGGGCATGAGGGCTGTGTCATTCAGTATCAGAAAGATGCAATTCAGTACACCAGCTTTTGGTCCTCTGGCATCAGCATGGTTTGCCTTTCAGTCAGAAAAGCCCTTGCATGTGCAAAACAAAAAAGGAGGAAGGCTCATTATGTTGCACAGGTTTGAAAGCAAAAGAATTCAATGTGCTATATTGTTCAGAGAGCAGAGGAAACAAGCCAATACTTCTGCACATTCATTGTGTTTCCTGTCCTGCCTTCAGGATACATTTTGACACCATTCTTGGTGAATCAGAATGATGATGTATGAAGGCCACTTGCTTTGGGTGGATAGCAGCCATTGCTCAGGCAGTATTAATTTTGGGATCATTGTGCACACTTACTAGACTTGGGTTTTCCTTATTGGCCTGAACTGTTGTCTACATTTTCCTTGGATACTGGCCTGGGTGCCATAGCTTGGAACCAGATAAATTGTTTGCATAGTGTGATCCTGAAAGAAGTATAGCAACAGCAGCATCAAGCCCATGCTTGCATGTGAGATCAAAACACTGTATTCATAGCTCTGGGAAAGAATTGTGGTGCTCCCTTAGCTATAATGTCAAATGCATTTGGAATAAAGACATAAAATCGCTGAAGAGGCATGGAAGCATCAGTGATAAACATGCATCACCATCCTTCTTGCTCTGGGATACAGTTAATATAAAATACAGAAAGTCTAAAGGAAGAAGAAAGGCTATTGAGCAACAACAAAATCATAGTGAGTGAGAACTCGCATAACTGCTCTCGACAGCTGCAATTACCTTTGGCCTGCAGCTGGTTATGAGACTGGCAGATACCAGCTGGGCAGAGCGTACCAAGAGACACACAGAGCAGCCAGACAGAAAGGCTCTGGAGCACCTCCGAAGCCTATCTGACAGCCGTGCTCTTCTGTGCCTGCTCAGCAAGGAACACAGGAGGTGACTTCCTGCATTTTCTTCTATTGCTAAGTAGGGTAGCCTGAATGGGCTACATCAAACCCTCTGTAAAAGGCAGCTGATGCCTGGTGTAGACATACCAATTTCCTGGCTAGCTGAAGGGGTTGCAGACTCTTCAGTGAGTTTTTGCTTCACTTTCCCATCATGGTAGAAGTCCTGCTTCATTTAACCTCTTAATAAGTATGCTTTGCTTCACTGTGGTAAACAAAGCCATCATATGATGAGGAAATTCAATTTCTGTGTGAGAAACTCTCTTCGGCAGTAGTTAGACAACTTATAGAGTCACAGAATCACAGACTGGTTTGGACTGGAAAGGACCTTAAGATCATTCAGTTCCAACTGCCTGCCATGGACAGGGACACCTTCCACTAGACCAGGTTGCTCCAAGCCCCATCCAACCTGGCCTTGAACACTGCCAGGGATGGGGCAGCCACAGCGTCTCTGGGCACCCTGTGCCAGCGCCTCAGCACCCTCACAGGGAAGAACTTCTGCCTTAGATCCAACCTGAACTTCCCCTGTTTCAGTTTGAACCCATCAGCCCTTGTCCTGTCGCTACAGTCCCTGATGAAGAGTCCCTCTCCAGCAGCCTTGTAGCCCCCTTCAGACACTGGAAGCTGCTCTGAGGTCTCCACACAGCTTCTCTTCTCCAGGCTGAACAGACCCATTTACCATTTACCATTTTACCATATACCACTTTGCTTTTATAGCAGCACCTATAAAATCACGTATTTGATTGTATGGTTCTATTAGTCATAGACCATTTCCCATACCGTGCTCTCAAGTCATCTAAACTAGCAAACAAAACAGCATCATCCAATAGATCTCTTTCTGCAAATAATCCAGGTTCCATTATACAAGGAGTAAACAGGTTGCTTTCCATATGACCAGGACTGTTGGTACTTTTGAAAGTCCTAGAGACATCTGTGAAGTCTCAAATGTGTAAAACTGGAGTTAGCTATATAAATGCCTCCATGAATCTGGGATTAAGTACCTGAGTTCAACTTTACATTTCATGAATTGCCTGCTTAAATATATATACATAGACATCTCGTGAATTGCAAGACAAAAGTTGGGCCTCATTCAAGACAATTTAAGGGAAAACAGGAAAATTAAGATTAAGAAAATCAAGCCTTCTCAGAGATCAAATGGAGCAAAAAGGAATCTGGAAAGAAATTCAGGCAAGAACAACCCTTAAAAAAAAACAGAATAGAGCATCTGAAGAAAGTTTCAGTCCCAACAGATTTGTGCTGCAGATGCAGATCTCTAAGTGACAGACAGAAAGGGGAAGCCTCGAATCTGAGAATTCCATTGCCTTCCATTAGTTGTCCATACAGTAGTTGTGTATTATTTTCCCAGACCACTAAGGATACAATACATTTCTTTATTAGAAAATCAGCAACTTTTTTGTATTCAGTCATTCCCCTTAGAAAATAGCTCTGTAGTATTTTATTACAGACAGATTTAGAGAGACAGACTGCAGTATTCATTTCCTCCCAAGCTAACGTCACTTCCTAACCAGCTCAGACCCCTTGTATCTCTTACATTATTATTTCACGGTGGGTCCAGGTGACTTCTCTGATTTCTTTGGAGAATAATTTATTTTCCCAGTACTTGCATGGCCTTCAAATGAGGACCTGTTTACACATGTGAGTGCAGGATTCAAAAGGGGCCTGTGCTTCCACTGTCAGCACTCTTATCACAGCCTGCTTTCTCCTTCAATCCAAGATGCTGAGCTAGGGAGAGGTGGCATTTCAATCTCCTCAGCAACAGATCTGTCTTCCGTGACTGGCATTGGTAGCCTAACCCTGACACCATATTTATGTGATTCCTCATGTATTTGGGTGGCTTTATTTGTGCTGGTTTTTTCATGGGTTTATTGTTAACTGACAAATTTGATTCCAGTTTCACTACTTTATTTCTGTGAGGAGTTCCAGAGGGAACTGTATTTCACATTAAATGGCTGGAAGCTTAAAAAGACTCTGGTTTAACACAGAAATAATGTAAAGGGTGGTTAACTGCAAGTCCTTTTGGAATAATTTTTCTGACTACAGTCTTTCTCTCTTCTTTGCATTTCTCTGCAGGTCTCTCATGATTTTGCAATCAATTTCAATGAAGACAACCCAGAATGTGCAGGTAACACTCACATGAGGTTGGACTGCCATGTTTTTGCTGTATGCTAAATGTGCTTTCATTTTTTATTGTATCCCCTGAGTGTTTTTTTAAGATAGCAGCCAGGATTTTCAAAACCTGACAGACTCTAAGCCACTTGGCTTAGCTTTAGAAACTTCAGAAAGTGCCACACATGAATTTCCTGACAAATAGGTCCCTCTGAAAGTACATCATGTTGGATATTCAGCTCTTGTGCTTCCCCAAATCACTGGCAAAGCACTACACTAAAGCCGTGTCTTTTAGATTCATCCCAGATCTTCAGCTACACCAACAGCAGAGGTTGTACAACTAAGAATTTGCAAAAGCAGACTCTGCCAGATCAATAGCAGCAGCAGCCTGCTGCAAGTCAGCCCAGCAATGTCCAGCACCGAAGGCCAGGGTAGCAGCTAAGGACTGCTGTGGTAGAAGGTAGCATACTTTCATGACAGTAGATGCAGCAGGAGGCTGTTTTAACAGAGTGTAATTGTGTTCTAGCCATAATCAGTCTCTAATCGTTGGTACTCAGAGGCCAGATTCATGTAGCAGATGTTGCTGGATGTCTTGTACTTGTAAGTGAGGTCTGCAGTGACTGATGCTGTCTTTCTAGGATCTCCGGCCACAATTCACAACTTTTATAAAAGAGAGTAACAAGACAATAATCTTTAAACAGCCCAACAAGTAAGCCCAGACTATCACTTATCTGAGAGCCTTAGTCAGATTACCACTGCTGTCTAAAACCCACAGGTTGTTATTCTCCCTTATCTCCTTCTGCTCCTATCCAAACACTGAGATGGGTATTTCAAAACACTCTTCCTGTTTTCTATCTATTTTCTAGCTGCTTCTTTCAGCCTTTCTCAGACTTGTTAGTGAATTTCTTTCAGGCATGGTTAGCGGAATATGTTCAGGATGACAATTAAGATGCCAGTAAATGGAGCGAGGAAAGAGAGTTTAAGAGACATTAAAAGAACTTAGACTTCAGTCATGCTAATGCTAGACCTCTGTTTTCGGTTCAGTGGGCATTTCTGTTTTGTTGTTGCACTTGGATTGTTGGATTGCCCCAGCCTCTGCAGGTCACATGCTTGAATTGTAATTTAGCATAAGTCCTACAGCTGCTTGATGTGTTGACACAGTTTTTTACATTGCTTATAAGGAGTTAAAAGAAGGTGAAATTACATTTATGCATCTACAAGTGCCTGTATAGCTTGTGAGCCAAGTTGAAGTTGAGATTTTAGTCACACTGAAGACGTGGGGATGAGGTGGGGAAGCAAAACAGACCTCAGCATTCCGTCTGGACCATCACATTTTAAAATGTGTTAGCTTGCCTGCTTCTGAACACAGAAGGCCTGAGCTGTTTAAAACATCTCCGTTAACAATGGTTGGCATTAGATGATATGTAATGTTCAAATATAGCTTTGTTTCCCAGTCTAAATGCAGGACGTTTAGACTGCGTACTTCAGAGAAAAGCACTAGTAGTCCACGCAGAGAACACTTCTTTTATCCTCCCTTTGCTGTCTCTTTTGAGTCCAAGGCTAATTCTCTTATCACACTGACGTTGTATAATGGTTTGTATTGAATGAAGAGGCTTTCACATCTCTGTAGCAGATCAGAGGTTGGACAGACAAACCCTCTGCAAGTAAACAACTTTCTATCCAGACCATACTATGTATGCAGAATAAAATGTAAGAATGGAAATGAGAGGAGGTTAAAAAAAAAGGAAGGAGCTGCTCTATGAGTCTTGCCTTGGCTTATGTCACTTAGTATTTAAACTTTACTGGGTTCTTTGCGTAAGACTTAGTTATATGATAAGTTAACCCATCACTGAGAAGTTGAGTTTTAGGGCTAAGAAGACATAAAAAGATGGTTGTAGCATGAAAGCCCAGGGAAGAAATTTTGCAGCAGTGCACAGGCATGTGTGAGATATAAAAAGCACTTTTTTGTCCTGTATGATACCTTTTAAAATAATACCCATCTGGATGAAAGCAAGAGAAGGATACATACCAGAAAACACGTTTCCTTATCCTCTGCAGCTTGCTCATCACGTGCCTGTCATGGATGCTTGATCAGTTCCTGTCACCAGTCATTCTGTGTTGTGAAAATAGATGCTCCCACTGTATTAGGTGACACGGGGAGCAGTAACACCAGTGTGTCATGTGGAGAGAGAACGCAAGAGTGAGCTGGAGATAAAGTACTTAGTGACCAAACTATTTTTCCTTGTAATATTTAGCATACTTGCCACAAAACAAAGGAAAATTGCTGCAGAGTATCGTGCCTTAAAACGGGAAACAGGTTGGATAGAAAGTATGTGTCTGATTTGTTTTTGAGGAATGAAATCCCTTTCTTTGTGGAAGCAGTGAGCTTTTACTGGCACAAGGAAGTGTGAAGCATCCCTCTACCTTGAGTAAGAACTGTGTACAGAATCATAGGATCATTTAGGTTGGAAAAGACCTTTAAAATCAACCATCTAAACCATCTCAACTGCCAAGTCCAGCACTAAACCAGTGTCCCTAAGTGCCACATCTGCAAGTCTTTTAAACACACCCAGGGATGGTGACTAAACCCCTGCCCTGGGCAGCCTGTTCCAATGCTTGACAAATGTTTCAGTGAAGAAATTGTTCCTAATCTCCAGTCTAAACCTCCCGTGCCACAGCTTGAGGCTGTTTCCTCTTGTTCTATCACTTAGTACTTTGATGAAGATGACTGGAATTCACAGGATATGGATATTCTCACCTTTTCTCCCCTGGTACGATTTCCATTCTTGAAAATTGTAGTACTTATACCCTTATATTTAGTATATTTGTAGTCTATTATATTAATAGTTTTATACTTAAGATTTAGTCTTTATTGTCTGCAAAAGAAAGTGACAGCCTCTAATCAGAATGAATGCTTCTACACATGCATGCATTTTACATGCATCTTACACCCACCTATATATGTATACACTGTATATTTCATCAGAGCTGTACAAAGTGGATTCCAATTACAAATGTAGAGTTGAAGGAATTCAGAGAAGAGTAACCTACAAATTAAGCCACTCACATAACCTGTTGGATTTGGATATATTAGGACAGTAGATATTTCTAAAAGATAGTAATCTGAGAAAGCAACGAAGAAATTGTTTCTATAACATGTTTGTTTCTAAGATGAAAGCAACTTTCTGACACGTACCACGCTAAATCTGTGTGGAATGTAGGGAGTGAGTTTCATCTTATACTATTTCAACGCATAAGGAAAAAACTACAGTGCATCTCGTCATCATCTTGGGGAAGATTTATGAGGCCTTCATTGAAGATCAGTAGGCATATTAATGAAATCCAGGGCAGGTTTAAAATTGGGAGATAATAAAAGGTCTGTTTTGCAATATGTAATTTAGTCACTGGAATTACCAAGGGAAATTTTATAACATTACTTTACATTTTAGCCAATGATAGCTATAATTGGAGCATGTTCCTTTGTTTGTGAGCACTGCAATGGAAAAACTATGTTTGTAGCTACCTACAAAGAGAGAAGACTGCGTTCTCCACCTTTTTTTTTTATAGGAGGTTCAGGTTTCTTGTTGTAAAGCAATTACAGTTCCCTGTGATTTGTTAGTAACCAGTCTGCACCCGTATATCCTCTAAATTTGGTTGAGTAGCATTTCATGAGTGAGCTATGCAAACTCAACCTACCTTAGCCTCTTTTAGAAGCTTTTCATTCTCCTGCATCCTTCATGAAGCTTTTCAGTCTGTGACTTTCTTTCTAGCTTCAGAGCTCTAATCCGTTAGGTCTGGTAAGCTGAGAGTTCTGAATGCAGAGGCAAACCTGCCTTACTTCAAGAAATCCTTCTTCTCAGTGATTGAAGATACCGAATTCCATTCAGTGATCTGTCAAGTGTGTCAGCAGTAGTGTGTTCTCCCTGCTCTGGCTATATATCCTGGAATAAAAAAGCCCAAAATAGCTAGTTCTCCCATCAGAACTTCTTGCCTAAAGCTCATTTTTCTGTTGACTGCAAAGCATCCTGCTGCTTCTTCCAAGATTTCACAGCTTTTGATCATAATCAAATTCAACCTGTGAGCAATAATGCAAATTCACCCTGTGCTCTTTTCTTAGCAAAGAGGAGTCAGCCAGGAAAAGCTGTTTGAATTCCTTGACACCTCTAGGTTGTATGTACAAAGGGCAGGTTTGTTGGTAACTACCACAGTAAGCAGAATTTAGCTGAAGTGGAGGAGGGAGAAGTGTTGAAGTGTTTGTAATTTGTGCTGCCCTTTTAGCATGAATTTCTAGCTGGTGATCAGGAAGTGATCACTTACACCTTGAACTGAGGAGGATGGACGCTAGGGCACTGCAAGCTGATACCTGAAAAGAAGACATTAAAAACTGCTGGAAAGGAGAAGCATGGTACAATGAATTATATATTACAAACTAGATTCAAGGCAGCTAGGGACAGCTTCTTGAAAATCACCTGAAGTTGTTAGTCCTTCCTAATTATGAGCCCACCTTTTATTTACATTTTAAACAAGCATCATCCTGGTGATGCACTCCACATTTATTTGCCTTTTGTGTGGCTTTTCATGCCAGGAATACAGGGTGTGGTGGAGGCGTATCAGAGCTGCCTTCCCAAGCTGCAGCTGTACGGACCCACAAACATCGCTCCCATCATCCAGAAGGTGGCAAAATCAGCATCAGAGGAGACCAACACCAAGGAGGCCTCGGTAAGGGCATAATGCTGTGTTCAGCTTTCCTCTTGTATTATGATGGATCTCTTGCAGGATATCCAAACAGGGCCCTTTCGTGGGTGTGAATCATGCCTTCACAGTTTTCACTAATGGCTTTCACAGCTTGAGCCTGTGGCAGCTGGAGCAATGTATCTTGCCTTTATATCTTCGATAGTCACAACTTCAAACTCTTCCCCACTGTTCTGTTTCCTGCTTTTAGAACTGTTTTACTGTAACACACGTAGTTCTTCACTGTGGAAATATAAATGCCACCACTAAGGTAACACAGCTTTGTGGACCAAGCCCTAAAAGTGTTGATCATGCGAAGAGAGGAGTTTAAATGATTCTGTAAACAGACTACCCAATTCCAGGTCTCTTGCAGAGGCTGTACTAAAACCCTTTTGTTCAACTAGGGGATTTTTCCAACCATTCCTTTGAAAACTGTATGCGGTTTTCAAACTTGCTATTACCTACATGGAGTATCATGTGCCTTTTAGAAAGCAGGAGATGAATCTGTTAGCCTGCATCTCATACAACACCCATGACAGATTTCTTGGCTAAAAGATTTAAGCATAGATCATGTTTTAAATGTATGTCTTTGAAATGCATTAGGCTTCTTTTTCTCCTGCCTTCCAGACAGAATAGGAGAAAGGGAGAATGAGAGAACTGGAAAGAATAGGTGAGTGAGTAGGTCTGAAACATTTACAAGTGCTGTGGGAGTAAAGGATGTAAGAGAGAACTTGCATACTGCAGCATGGAAAATGCCTATGTATAGGAACACAATAAAGATGTACATTGGCATGCATCTCATACCAGGCCTAGAGCTTTCCCTAAGCTTTCTTCATGTGCTGAGCCTTTTTTTAAGTCCTATTAAGGCAGTTCCCAAATATTTCTGTTCATGAGTTTGGGCTTGTGATTGTCATTCCACTGCTGTTTCCAGGTTCTTGAGAGTATTTAGAGTCCCAGTCCTAAAGCTGGGAATTGCTGTGTTTTCATTTCCATGCCCACCTAATGCTGAGGTGGCTCACTCTGTTCCCAGTGCTGCCTCTAAACTAGTTTGTTGTATTGAATAAGTTGTTTCATGTTTCTAAACCTAAGCTTCCCCCCTTTCTGTTGGAAAAACATATTAATTTATAGCAGTAGTCTTCAAGATAGTTTTCTTCCTGTACGTTTTGTTTTATTCGTGGCAGGAGATGAACAGAACACTTTGAGTTTATATAGCTGTATGTATAATAAATGTTCATTACGTTAGGTGTTGTTTATGCAGAGTGACCAAGTTCTGTCAGCTGTTCATTTTTCCTATTAATGCACATTTATTCAATGACTCCAGCTGCCTAACAATTCATAAAGAATCCATGGGAGAGACACTCTTCCCCATTACCAAGTGAAGTACTAGCCCATGATCCCAGTTCAGTGGGCTTTGGAGTTTTGGCAAAGAAATTACAAGCTCACGGAATTGCTTGCTCTCCTTTAGAGAATGAGAAAACCTCTCTTCAGGGCTCTGCATTAAGTGATTGAAGATGGATATATTCCTCCCTGCACGCCCTTGCTCTCCCCAGGGGCCCCCGTACATGCCGTAGTGTGGTGCTTCTCCCACAGGCAGCAATGGGTCATCCTTCAGTTTGCAGATGGATGCAGCCATCCCACTTGCCTGTTAGCAAAGCTTGTCTGCAGAGTGCTGTCATAACCTCCCTGGCAGCTCTGCTACAGGCTTGTAATGCGTCAATACCCCATTCCTCCTGGCCTCCCACTGGTTCCCAAAGGGAAAACAAATGCAATTGGAAACTGACAGTATAAGTGATTGTGCAGCAGATGGAAAACAGGGCTAGTGAGATCTCTGGATTATTCCAGACTTCCCAGCCAAAGTCCTGACTCTCCCAGGTCTAGCATCTAGAAACCCCCTTTTCTACACTGTGAAGCCCTTGGCTCCCTCTAGCTCCTGGAAATTACCTGACCTAGAGCTAACCTCCAGAAGAGGATAGATTAGTAGCTGAGGAGGTTTGGATGGGAAACACACGTAGTCTTTGAGTCACTATAAAGGCTCTTTCCTATTTAAGAAAGTTCATGAGTGGCTTACCAGAAACACTGTTACTGGAACAGGGCCAGCAGCTCTGGAAGATGAACTAATGCTATACTTTTTCACTTCTTTCCCAACAACTTCAGCAATATTTCATCTTGCTGATTCTGACGGATGGCGTCATCACAGACATGGCTGACACCAGAGAGGCTATTGTCCATGCCTCTCACCTTCCCATGTCAGTCATCATCGTCGGGGTGGGGAATGCTGATTTTAGTGACATGCAGATGCTGGATGGCGATGATGGGATCCTGAGGTCTCCCAAGGGCGAGCCTGTGCTTCGAGACATTGTCCAGTTTGTGCCATTTAGGAACTTCAAACACGTAAGCTGATGTTTCCATCCACTCCACAGAAGGGTGAATGTATATAATACAGAGTGAACGATGCCTGTGGCAAGGCCTAATTTTGGATGGGCATGAAGTGTTTAATGAGTCTAGAGCATTATTTTGTCAGAAATGGAGAGGAATACAGAATCAAATATGTTCCATTAGTAAGATGTGGGTGGGAGGGAAGAGATGGGGCAGAATCCATGTGCTTCTTGTGGTACCAGTCGTTGCTTCCACTTCCTTCCTGATTTTCATTTCAGTGCTCTCCCTGAATTATTTTTCCTGGTGTCTCTTTTTCATTCTCTTTGCATCTGTTCTATTAGGACTCCTGTATTCTGCTCTCCCTCCCTTCATTTCCACAGGCAGCTGAAATGGCTGTGAACTTGTACTCACAGTGCTCCCTAGGAGGCTGTTTCCTTGTTGAAACGTAGGTCCTCAAGTTCTCAAAGGCAGGTCTATCCACTCACAGGGTTAGGGTTCGGGTTTTTCAGGGCCCTCTCCCTCCATATGGAGGCATGGAGTGGCCATTGTGTTCCTCAGCAATGCTTAATCACATCCCCTTCCCTCTGTTTTTCAATCTTTCTCTCCCTTCCTTCCACTCATTCCTTCTGTTAGATTTCAGTGGTTCTCCAGATTGGTTTTTTTTTGCTCACCTCAGTGTCTACAAAGGACATCCTCAGTATTTGATGGAAAATTTCTTTACTCCACAGTGTAACTGACTCATTCTCCTCATGAGATTGCTCTTTCCAGTCCACTCCCGTACACTAGTGGTCCTTAGATCTGGATATGTCACACAGAAGTTTTCAACTCTGGGTTGATTTTCATCTGCGTATGGGTTTGTAATACTTACATTTGTTCAGTTTTTCCATGCTTTTTCTTACCACAGGAAATTTTTTTTCCCCATTTGCTACTTCCAAAATACCTTCATTTTATTTTCCTCTTCTCAAGAGTTTCTTTTTCTCACTTCAGAATACAATTTTGCCGTATTTATATCGAATCTAGACTCACTTCTTACTTTTACAAACTTTACTGAGGAGTAAGAGAAACAAACTTGTTCCTCTTTTCCCTCTGCCTTTATGTAACCAACAGATCCTCACAGGAGGTAGAATTCACCTTGTGCTATTAATTTGGTGACACCATGCCAGATGGCTGCAGATTTGCCACTGAATTGTAGATACATGCCTTTTTATGGTGACAGTGCCACTATTCGCTAGGGCAGTCCCCTATCTGCTGGAACAAAGCATGAGCACTGACCTGCTCATAACTTGTGATTCTCCTTCATCAGATAATCACAAGTGCCTAGTGATGTACTTTAGTTGTAGTGTATTGCTAAAGTGTCAAGAGGTGAGTTATCTAGCACTAGGCTAGTGCTAGACCTACTTCCAATTAGTTGAAAACACATCTTCTCCCCCTTTCTCCCAGTAGCAGAGATAATATAGATACAGAGATAGGTAATGTATTCGCTATATCAGAAAAGTCAATATCTCTTCTGCAACTTGATATTTAGTCTGTTTATTGAGATGTTTCAGCATTTCAACAAACATCAGTGTGATGGATGAGTATCCATAACAGTAGCCACTTCTGGTTGAAATTCTTTATTGCTATATCCCAAATAATATCTCTGAACAAAGTGACATTCACAGCTATCTTGCTTCCTTATCCTCAGCACAAAGACCATGCCTTTTGCATCAACAAGTGAAAGAATTTTTCATGGGAGAAATGAGTGTGATGTTTTGATTCAGATTCATTTTTCCTCACGAAGAAAGGCAGATTTAACACATTAGGAGATTTTTGTTTTATCAGTTTTGATTAAACAAGAATTACCATAAATCAGCTTATTACATTCAACAGCTTTAAGTAAAGGATGTATTTGGTTAAAAATCACATCCTTTTTGTCAATGTACATTGCGTTTAGTCCTTTCTAGGAAGAATCTTTCTAGACTAGTTGTAAAATGTTAATAGGTTTTTCTGATAAATCAAGTATTCCTATATGCCTAAATCCATATTACCTCTCCTGCTGACAGGAAGAGGAGAGAAAAGGTTATTTGTGAGCAATTATTTCTTGTTTTGCTGGAACAGAAAACCAAAATTCATTTGGAGTCAACCCAAACAACTTTTTTTTTTTAGTACTTCAATTCTCAGGACAGCCTGGAACTCAAAGTCTTATATATACCTAAAGAGATCAAAAATAACCTATCCAAAAGATGCCCATGTAAGAATATTGAAAGGAGGGAGAAGGAAATTGTAAAAATAACCTACAGAGCTAATCCCTTTTATTTTAGAAGCTTGACTTCAGAGAAGGTTCTGATCCTGCACGGCACTCATACAGGCAGTTAACACATTTCAGTTAGTTACAATTATTCACATACCTAAAGCCTCATACCCACTTCAATGTTGTACTGGCTCAAGAGCTAGTGCAGACAGAAAACATTATTATAGGTGCTTGATCTGCTACATGATGTAGTGTATCAGGAGTTGAAACCCATCGCCCCTTGTCCTATGGCTCCAGTCCCTGGTGAAGAGTCCCTCTCCAGCAGCCTTGTAGCCCTCTTCAGACACTGGAAGCTGCTCTGAGGTCTCCACGCAGCTTCTCTTCTCCAGGCTGAACAGCCCCAATGTTCTCAGCCTGTCTTCATACAGGTGTTGCAGCCCCTGATCATCCTCGTGGCCTGCTCTGGACTTGCTCCAACAGCTCCATGTCCTTCTGATGCCAAGGACACCAGCCCTGCACACAGTGCTGCAAGTGGGGTCTCAGGAGAGCAGAGCAGAGGGGCAGGGTCACCTCCCTCAACCTGCTGCTCACGCTGCTTTTGATGCAGCCCAGCACATGGGGGGTTTCTGGGCTCAAGCACACACTGAAGCGGCTCATGTTCAGTTTCTCAGTGACCAACACCCCCAAGTCCTTCTCCACAGGCTGCTCTGAATCACAATGAAGCAGAAGACGCAGGCAGATGAGTATTGGCCCCATGTTCAATTAGGTGACCTACACATGATCCACAGAAGCTGGTGGCAAGTGCTACTGCCCAGCCTTTCTAAAGCTAGAGCAGGGTGAAGCTTCCTGATTGCTAGGACTTGTGTGTGCAGCGATGGCCCAGGACTTTTCCCCACTCCTTGTTTTCACCCTTTCTGTAGGGTTGTTGGTAAGATGTCACAGGGGCAGGCTAAGTTATACACAACTTTGGCTCACTACAAAGGGGATTAAAAAATCCCCAGTAATTCTCAATAGCAACATGGAAATCAGCTGATTTCAGTGAAAACAGGTTTAGGCAAGAATGGGGCAACTGTGGAAAACCATGAATTTCATTTTGAAGGATTAAAGAAAATGGGTTCTGGTACTGTGTGTCACCTGAGAACAGTCACTGCACTATCACACAAACTATGGGCTCTGCTTTGCCAGTTTGTTCATGCAGAAATGTTCCAGCCTTTTTTTGCCTGCACAAATACTTGTGTATAAACGTCACAGTAGGGAAGTAGCAGTTCATTTTATTCATTACTAATCACATGTGTGACTCAAAATACCAAAATAGTTTTGTTTCTGGTTTTACTAGCATTATCTATGTATTTGAAGTATTGTAATATTTGATACTGAAATGTATAATAGCCCAGGGGCTTTCTGCACCCTGGATTAGCTTGCCTATGGATAATTTACCAGTTACATCCTGTGAAAGCCTAATTTTAAGATTGGAAAGATCAGGATCTCACCGCATGAAACAGAATAGGGCAATAAACAGTTGATACAACTACTTCATGAGATGGTAGTTTTGAAACCTGGCTGACAGTGAGAAGGGAAGTGTTCACTAATGTGGGAAAAAGTACTTGGTGTGTAGAAGAAATGTGGCCCAGCCAGCAGCTGAGTTCCCGTGCATCATCTGAGCTGCAGTGTGTGATCCATGTGTGCTCTAGTTGGAGATAAACACACTGGTTTATACCTCTCAAACTGACATTTAAGCATTAGCATTTTTACTGCATTTTTGGGGTGGGTTTACAGGGAACACAGTCAGGCGGGTTGGCTCCAGGGGGCTTGGAATCAGCTCTACCCAAATACGTAGAAACAAGCAAATCCAAAACATGGGGCAAGAGGGTAGAGAACAGGAGTCCAGTTTTGTCACTGCTGAATTCAGGAGCTGAGGAAAATCCCTGCAGCACATGCAGGTAACAGTTGTCTATAAAACACCCACAGGCCCTGCTGCTTAAAATAAAGCATCGTCAGGGGGTGAGGCAGCCACTGTGTGTTATCAGTGGAGGACGTGGTTTCTCATTGCCTCCTCAATGCCTGGGGCAAAAGCCAGTGGCCATCTCTATATCCATCTCTACATTTTAGGATCATCAGTTCTTAAGTCTGGTTGACACCAACCATTTATGCATTGGAGGAAGAGCTTTAAAGCCTTCATGAAGGCTAGGATTGAAGCTTTCTCATGACCATGGTTTAATTCCAATGAAAACAAAATAGTTTTTATTGAATTTAAAAACCTCCCCAGCCATTAAAACACTTTTCCAGAAGAGCAGAATGGTGATGAAGGTCTCCCTTCTACAGTGATATATGTTCATATTCAACCCAAAGCTCTGCAGCATTACTGCCCCATAGCAGGGGGGTTGGAACTAGATGATCTTAAGGTCCTTTCCAACCTTAACTATTCTGTGATTCTATTCTATGATTACTCACCAAGTACTGATGTATGAAGGCTTTGCAGCCCTTTTCAGTGCAATATGGTTTTCTCCCACACTGCTGAGAAGTTCAGTTACCCTGAACTTACAATAGTCCAGATGGAGCTGAAAAACAGCTTTAGCAGACTTTGAGGCAGCTACAGCTCCATGCCCAAACTGACTCAGAAAATGAGTTTACAGCAGGAGTGCCACTCACTTTGAGTCTTTTTTGCCTTCTGTTTCTGTACCATACTTCCTACCTTGATCTCATGGTACCAATGCCTCTAAACACCATGGCGCTTCCAACAGAGAGGCAGGTTAACACTTGTGTTTTCTACCATTTCCTGCAGGCATCCCCAGCTGCTCTAGCAAAAAGCGTTTTGGCTGAAGTTCCAAACCAAGTCGTGGACTATTACAATGGCAAAGGGATACAACCCAAATGTATGTCAGAGTACGAGTCTTCCAGGACACTAGCTCCATGAACCTGCCTGCACTCTTTTACAAAATGAACAACAGAAAAATGCTACTGTCTACAACTACTGTACTTAAAAATGAAACAAAAACAAACAAAAATAGCACGTTTTGGTGATTTTTAACTAAAATAACCTTTTTTTTTTTTTTTTGCATGTGTAGCCTAAAGGCTTAAATCTGTGAAGCAGCTGTATTGTTGAAAACTTTTTATGAGGAAAACAATCCAGACAAAACCAGTGAACTCTTTACATTACAGCATGTCGCCTTGAAATAAAAGTTATCCAGTATCTGTTTTTTATACAGGTTTGTTGAAATTTTGCTAAATTTCTTATCTTTACACTGTAAAGCATTTTGAAATATTTATTGGGAGTTGAGAGCCAAAATGTCTTTGGTTTAATCTGCTATGAACCGAGAGATTTTTCCAAATGGCAGATGCATGAACTGTATTTTGCATGTTTAAAATAAAAACAACACAGTTTTGCAGTTGTCTTTATTTCTCTCTCTGCCACAAGGCTGCCTGCTTTCAACTGACATATTCCAAGAGAAGGGTAATAAAGTGTTTCAAGAGATAACTAGCCTGAAGCATGGGCATTTCTAATGTTGTAACATGGGCACCCGAACATGCTCACTCAGTCTGTGGCCTGAATAGCAATTCACACATCCACTTGTTATAAAGGGTTCAGACCATAGTTGTAAACAAATCTGGCTTGGAGGGCATGATCCATCAGGACTGCATGCCTATTTAATCCAAACAATCTGGCTGGCTTTCGCGTAGGTTGTATTTTGGCTACCCAAATTTATAAAACATAATGGTCATGAATTCTTGTTTTGTTTCATTTCTACTTTTTCATCTCACACATAACATCCAACTTTGCGTGACACGCTTTGTGACAACCAGTGATTTGTAACTTCACGCGCACACGTATCACTTTTGTGTGAGAGAAAAAATGGCTTTGTACCAAAAGAGTATTCAAGCCACCTTTGTTTTAACAAAAAAAGAAGACACGCAAGAACAGATTGGCAGTGGGTTGATCTTTCCATTGAAATATTTAGGTATATAAATGAAGATATTAGATAATTTTTATTCTTAAGTGTTCAAATCCTGGCTTCTTCATTTGCTAAAAGATGATAGTGAAAGATGTGACTTGTTAGAAGTTAAGGATAAAATCTAACCAGTAATAATTTGTGTGGGATTGTCCAAAGGGCACTGCTTTGGACAAGTTGTGCTCCTACAACATTCTTGTTGCTAGTTCCAGAAGAAGCTGTTTTGAGCCAGTGCTGAATATTTGGGAAAATCTCACCTGTAAGCAAGGGGTTTTGTTTTAGAAATGCGTATTTTTAAATGAGTTTGCAGTTAATGTAGAAGTAAATTCCATGGAATCAGCTTTGATTGATGATTTTGTTCCATAAAATGAAGGCAATGGGATAGACAAGATGCATGGGGCTGTCTCCCCAGCACATTCAGTTCTGCTCCATCTACAGATCCTGCAGTGCGATCATTCATGCTTGCTAGTAAAGATTCCTTCAGCTGCTCAGATGCTGAACAGCAGCCAGCATTACTTGGTCACAGGTATAAACTGTCTGAAGGCCTCCTGACTGATAGATCTCAAATCTACATTTCCATTTAATGGCTGACACTTCATTCGAGAGCTTACCCCAGCAGGCTGCACATCTTCCCCTCTGTGGGTGTATTTCAGCTGGAAGCTACTGAGATTTTCTCTTATATCTCATACACCACACTGTCAACATATCTTAATTCTTATGTACAATATCTTTAGTTTCTTATTCCCCTTTCCTCTCTTTTTCCTTTCATTCCCTGCTATCAGAAGGAGCATTTTCTAGCTTTTAAAGCACATGAGTGAGAAATTAATGACTCCATGTTCTTTGCTCCTCTGGTATCATATTTTGTAATCTTGCCCAAGTTATTTAACTTCTCCACACCTTGGATTCCTCATCCATAAAATGCAGGTAACTGCCAGGTATTCATAAATATCTCACAATGGTACTGAGGGACTTCAGTATTTGAAAAGTGATTTGAGATCCTCAAAGGCATGATGGTGTTCTTGCCACATAAAGAATATTACTTTACCCTGGGGCATGGATTTAGGGGTGTAAGGTACAGCTAAGGAGGGATTAAAGCCTTTTCTTTATTACTTGCCAGATTGAAGTAAATCTTCTGAAAGAAAACTTTCAGCAAGAAAACTTGGGAATCAAATACATTGTTTTTCTGGTACGTATGATCTTTGGCTAAGCTGATTTTTGAAGTGTTTATGGTTACGTAAAATTGGGCAGTTAGAGCTCTTCATTAGCAGAAGTGTACTTCCATAATGTAGCGTAACAAAAAAATGCAGACATGAATAGGTTGTTATATGCTGAGCTATATAAATCATCAGTCATTTTCATGCACGTGGGTGGTCTCTATAAGAATCTCAAGAATCAGTGTTTCTGCAGAGCTTTCTGTTTACTTCACACAATCCAGATGATAAATGTTGTCGACTTAAAACCATTACCACGGGTAACACAGATCAGCAATTCTCTAGCAGCCCCCAAGGTATTTGAAAAGACACCTCCACGATATTGAAAAATCAACTGGAAATCTCCTTCAATCTATATAGATCCCAGGATGTAAACCAAACTTGTAATAGTGTGGTGAGCTGGTGTAGGGGAACACACCAAAGACAAAACCAGCCATATGGTAAAGGCAGTCTAATAAGGCTCTGAATGTTATTTTCATTGCTCCAAGTTACTCAGTGGAATAAGATAGTATGGGCTTTGTGCAGGGTAATATCATTAAGTATATGAATATATCCTTGAAATGGCCTTTTTTTTCTTCTTCTGTTTTATCTACTTAGGGTTTTAGTGAGGCCATTGTGCCTTTAGGCTGAACTGCCACCAGTTCTTCTTGTAGAGTTTTCTGAGGCAAATTGAAACTTCTACTGCCTTTTGATGGATCATTTAAAGCCCCAAAACTCCTTTAAAATAAATTATCTCTTGTTCTTTTGAGGTAATTGATGATCTAAAATATCTTCTGTGCCAACTGCTATTCCGCATTCCTTTTTACTGTCTCTCAAATCCAATTCAAAACCCAAAAGTCCCACTAAACTCAAAGATACGCATGATCCCTATTAGCCCAGAATACATTAATACCCATAATTCTCGAGCCAGATACTTGGCTGAGTTGTATTTTTAGTTCTGCAGGGGAAACTAAGTCTACAATAAATCTCAAAAAAAAAGCATTAATACACTGCTAATTGCTTATTACCCTAAGGAAAAAAACTCCCCATGTGTAGGTTTTATCATGATAAGCAGTATAGTGTTCTATAGCATTTGATGAAAGAGTCTAGAGGTATGAAATTCTAATAATAGTATTGCTTTAAAACATGTCTTTTAGTCCCCAAATATCAGTGGTACACACTGATACAGCTCAGAGGTCTACAGTTTGATCTGTTAGACCTGCTAACTGCAGTGGAGAACGGTGGTCTAAGCCAAGGCTTGCTGCAGGTTGCAGAGGTGATATTCCAACAAACACACAGGTGGAAGGCCCCAGTTGTGAGCAGATTTTTATGAGAGAGCTCTGCAACACTCAACAACATCCCTTGGCTTTACCCACATACCAAATCCTGTGATAGAACAGCATGTGGCTTAGTGAATCTCGTTACTGCAGTAAGATCTTTGCTGATGAGTTAAAACAGGCTACCTCCTGCAACATGGCTTTCTGGGTGCACAAACAGGACATGGCTTTACCCCCAGAAAGAATCCAGTGGGATATTCAGATTGACCTTTCTCACTCGGGATTATGGGTCTTACACTCACACCTGCTATGTAAATTTAAACCTACATCCAACCTTTCCAGAGTGAAAGAGGTACAAGACAAACTCCCTTTACTTGTAAGTAAATGGACATTTCAGGCACAAAGCATCCATACATTGACATTCACAGTTTTTTGAATGGGAAGAATGAGCTGGAGGACTCCTAGGGTATGGTTACACTTCTCAGGCTGTTTTTCCCTTTATTTACAGAGAATGTGGCTATTTTGCCACAAGGAAAATACAGTTTATAGCACCATGCATCCTCCTTCAATCATAGGTTTCACTTGTAATTGCAGTCTTGGGCTGAGGAGTTGCACTTTACCAGAGGTAACACCAGCAATTAGAGAGCTGTGTGAGTGATACTGGCCAGCCCCACCGCACATTTGCTTGCAGCACTCACTGCAAACCATCAGTTGGCTGCATTCACACCGTCTCTTTTCTGTTTCTCCAATTTCATTGCACCTCCAAACTGATCAGGTGAAAACTAAGTGACTTCTCTCTTGTGAAGACTGCCAGTTAAAAAGTGGTGTCTCCATCTCCTCATTCCCACAGCTCTGAGGACTACCCAAGGCAGCATACTGGCAGGGAGAATTGTTTTGTGACGGGCACTTGTTCCTTCTTTTTCTTCTCTCTAAAAAAGCACTAGTTGCTTCTACTGCTGCGCAAAGAGCCTTTTACTGCTGTGTTCCAAAGGCACTTGAATTCTTGCCCCACTGATTAGAGCAGGGAGTTTGCAATCTGATTGCATTCAGAGTTGCAGACATCTTGCTACACAAACTGACAGGAGTTTGTACCTCTTTAGCATTGTGAAAAGCTGCATGCACCAAAAAAAAAAAGGGGGGAAAAAATAGTTTGATATTGCCCCATCATGTTGAAAGGAGAAAAAAAAGTACAGCATTAAAACTTTGCTCTCCAAAATGTGTGCAGCCCCATGTATAACTTCCATGAAATCCTGCCTCGGCTGTGCAGCCTGCTAGACGAGAAAAGCATCATACTGTGGCAAGGAGGGTAGCTAGCATCAAGAGAGCCCTCTTGTCTAGCTGGGAACATCCATCATGACCTGGCAAGTCACTTAATCTTGCTGTGTGCCTTGGTTCCACATCTTTAAAATGGGGATAAACTGCATTTTTCTACTTGTCAGGGACTTTGGTATGGTAAGCAGCATTGTAAGGTTGTCACAGTGCTTAGAAATGGGGAGGTATCACTTTTAACATTTTTAGATCATTTCTTTCTCCTGGTATAGAAAGCCCTGTCAAGAGAAGCAGCACAAGGTACTGATGGACCCCACTGGAAAACATGTCTACATGAAAATTAGCAACACCCTTGTGGTGTTGCTGTTCTTGATGCCAGGGGGAGAATAAAAAGATGCAGTGATCACTGTGACAGCAGAGACAACTAACCAGCTTCAGAGAGGGAATAGCAGCTGGACTGTGAACTTGAGAGATGCTTTTCTAAACACACTATGTGTTTACTTGTTAAAAGGACAAGGACAAGGAGCGTGTGTGAAAGCTGGTCGTTTTCTGGGTCACACTCTTGAGTGTGAACACAAAAATTCGACTCAGTTTTTAACTCTCAGGTGCTACAACCTCTTTCAGATCTGGTTAGCTGGGCACAAGCCTCGAGTGCGTCACAGACCAGGCGTGGGTACGAAAACAGAGTGGCAGGGTAA